AGAAGTTGGTGCCCTCTACCAATCAGTTCACCGAAGATTTTAATCTGCTGCCCACCGAAAATAGTTCACTTTACGAGGAATATCTGGAAATGGGTATGATTGAACATCATAATACAAATCTGACATGCCCATTGTTATGTTCGTTTCCTCTTCATTTCAGTGGTGCAATACGGTTTCATAACCTTGTTTAGCTTGGCATTTCCACTGGCTCCTCTTTTGGCGCTGATTAATAACGTGATAGAGGTCCGCCTCGATGCCATCAAGATGCTGCGCTTCATGCGACGTCCCGTGGGCATGCGTGCCCGAAATATTGGTGTCTGGCAAAGCATAATGGCTGTCGTTACGCACATTGCGGTCGCTTCTAGCGTAAGCTAATTCCTAATTGTTGTCTATATGGTAATCAATATGCATTTTTATTAATTTAATGCAGGCCATGATAATTGCATTTAGCAGCAACTTTATACCGAAACTAGTCTACAAAGCCACCCATGATGATCCAGAGCTGAATGGTTATCTAAACTTTACACTGGCTACCTTTTATACCAAGGACTATGGGACGCAATCGCTTTTGGATGTTAGCGCCCAGGCGAATGTAACGGAGTGCCATTACATAGAGTTCCGCAACGATCCCTGGGAGAACCCACCTTATAAACGACCCATGATTTATTGGAAGATCTTGACCGCCCGTCTAGCTTTCATTGTCATCTATCAAGTGAGCTGCATTGATTGATTCCCTCTTTAAACGCTTGTCGTAACGAATTGCTTTTACAGAATATAATAACCATGCTGCAGGGCATACTGCGCTGGGCTGTGCCCGACGTCTCTGGCCGTCTGCTTAAGCGCATCAAACGCGAAAACTTTCTGCTCCGGGAGCATATCATTGAGTATGAGAAAAGGCAGGCACAGGAAGTGACCCAGTCACAGACACAGCCAACGGTCGGTGGTGGTGCAGCAGTTACAAAGACGGAGACGGACAACTTTTTGCGTCAGCGTCAAAATGGAAGTGATGCAGCTGCTGGCGACAATGCCACAACCTATGTCTAAAACTATAATACCTGAAACACGCACGCGTAGCCAAATCCCAACACCCCCATGTCCATGTTCTTTGCCAGTGGTAATCGAAAGTGCATTTTAGTTATAAGCCTCAAATGTGAGTTTGTTAGGGCGTGAATTATGTATATTTAAAAAATATATAGCTTATGTACTTTTGTATATATAACGTAATATACAATTAGTTTAAGGGCATATTTTGTTCGCCTTAATTGTTCATATTGTGTTTTGTCATTCTACTGTACTTAACAATTGAAATGTTTTTTATATTGTTTTTGCAAATTGCATGTGAAATGCTCAAGAGGCAAAATGCATTCTTTTGCATCTGCATAATTCCTGTTACAAGTTGCGACATTTTTACAAAAAATCCAATAATTAATTGCCAAATTGTAAAGTGTTCGTAGAAACTGCGACTGATGCAGCCAGGTACTCGAATTAGATACATCAAAATGTGTAAAAATGCATTAACGCAATATATAGAATCATAGCAGATCATATACAAGCGCACATGCACATTCATATGATAGATCCCTAGCTCCATTAAGTATTTGCGCCGAATTGTTGAGAATAATATATTACGAAATAAGAAAGCAAGTGTTTAACTGCTTTCTATTCACGTCCAAAGTGCACATCAACTGCAATTATCTAATCAAACGCGTTATTTTCAATCTTAAGATATCGTTTGTACCTACAGAAAAACCAAACTTATCAGATTGCGTGTGCCTAGCATATGTACATATATACAAAAACTAAAACTACAACTACAACAACAACAACATCAACAACTAAATAAACATATAACTATAAAACAATCCAATGTACCTTATATATATATACACACACATAACATACATGCCTATACTCTATGTTGATTCTGCTCGTTACAATCGGTTTGTGTCTTGTATCTGTATCTGTAACTGTAACTGTATCTGTATCTGTATCTGTATCTGTATCTGTTGTTACCTTTGCCCCGCACCACCAGCACACACTGCATAAATGTTTTATACAACAAGAAATGCAATTAAAATAACAATACGAAATAGTATATATATTTTATTATTTTGATAAACATATTTATATACAGAGCAAGAGATGTGCTGCGATGTACAGAATGTTCTAATGTACATTTACACACAGCATTGATAACAATTTACAAAACTAAAATGGAAAGAGATTAAAAAACATGAATTAAGAATTGTAAGAAAACAAAAAAACGAAAATAAATTAAAATTATATAAATTGAAATGATTTGTGTTTGAATATTGGGAATGTAACTCGCGCTCTGTAAAATGGTTCTAAAATTGTTTGTAGATCAGCCAGTTAATAGCCTGAAAGGTCCATGGAATAAATGGATGGAACACATATGTATGTGTCCATAATAAGAAATAGCAAATGCGTCGTAATGTTTATCTTGTGTAACGTATGCCCTAGTGCTACAGGTCAGTGAGCCGGAAGCTCAGCTAGACATTATATGAAGCGTGATATTGAATAGCAATATGGTGTCAAATCAATTGGAACTGAATGCAAGGCGACTATCGCACAGCAATTGGCGGCGACACCCGCTGAAATGTGGATATCAACAATTGAGGCATATCAAGCGGACTGACACAGAACACTTCGCTCCAGTTTGAGTCGGGCCAGTTTAGATGCTAAGATCAGGTAGCGTCTGGTGCTAATCAAATCGTTTGCAACTCAATTGAAATGGATGCCGTGGCCAAAGCCGACTGCGTCCCCAGACCCCACAGCGCAGCTCGCTCAGTCAATTGTCTTTGGCCAGTCGAGCTTTATAGTTGGACACACACTGGGGCTTAGCTTCGAATTTGTCGGCGTAACGCTTCCATGGAATTTGCATAAGCCACATTTGGCATAAAAAAAAAAAAAAAAAATAGAAATAACAAAACTAAAAATAAACCTAACCGTATCTAACGAATCTTTCAACTATGAACCGCATTTGCATCGATCCGATCACTTTCTGGCGCTGTCACAACAATAAAATGAGCCCCACTTCCGTGAGTTGACGAGATGCTGCCCCGCAGCTAAGCCAAATTGCTATCGCGCGGATAATTTTCAGCAGCTAATCCTATTTTCCATTTATTTCCAATTCCAATTCATAATCAGCCGAAAGTCATCAAGCAACTGAGCGCAGCGGAACGTGAAGAGTTTTTCGATTCCTTTGATGTCGTTTTCTGCGATTGCGATGGTTTGTTCTTTATGCATAAATACTATATAGTATGCAGATACAGATACAGTTGTGTGCGTTTGTTCCGAATCTCACATTTGATGAGGGCCGGTTTTTGATTAGATCTAACGTTTTGAGTAAATTGGACTTGGATTTCATAGAGAACTTATATCCGTAATATTATACAGAAAATATTACCTAGTTGTCCGATTTAAGTCGTAAAAAGCTAATAGATTGCATTCGAACGTGTTTCAAACGGCATTTTTTCCGTTTGCCAACACTGGACGGTAAGCAAATCAAGTAAATTGAAGAAACTGGACGTGAACTGTTAATAAGTCTCAGTTTTTAAAGTGATGTACCAAAAGATTTGCATAGCAAAGAGAAAATAAAACCCATTTACTAGTTCTGCATTCTTTGGCCTGAAGATTCAGTTCGATTTTCAAGTTTTTTTTTTCGGTTACAAAATTCAAAAGCCAATTGCTACGTTTTTCAGCACTGAAATCAAAACAATATCAAGAAAATTTACCATACTTACAAGCGAAAACCAGAGATCTCATTGTGGCCATTGCCCCCTATTTCGCAGGTGTTGTCTGGTACACACTGCGCGACTTTATACCCGGCTCGGCACAGGCCATTGGGGAGCTGCAGCGTCGTGGCAAACAGCTCACCTTTGTGACCAATAACAGCATCAGCTCCGTGGAGGAGCATATGCAAAAGTTCGCCAAGCAAGCGGCATTGCATATAGACCAGGTTAGTCCCAGGTGATCCAATAAGTTGGCTGCGACTTGGTTTTGAATCCCTCTTCCGAGCAGCAACAGATTGTGCATCCGGCACAGACCATTTGCGATCATCTCAAGGCCATTGGCTTTGAGGGGCTCATCTACTGCCTGGCCACGCCGCCCTTTAGGCAGCTGCTGTGCGATGCGGGCTTTCGTCTAACCGAGGAGGTGAGTTGCTTTGCTGGCGTTGATAGATACTTGGCTCAAACGGTTTTGCCTGCCAGCGCGAGGGTCTTATCATCAAGAGCCTGGGAGAGCTGCACCAGTCCATCTTTGGCGGGGAGCCCGTGCAGGCTGTCATTATTGATGTGGACTTTAATCTGACTGCGACCAAGCTGATGCACGCCCAGTTTCAGCTAAAGAATCCCAACTGTTTGTTCCTGGCCGGCGCTGCCGATGCGCTAATACCCTTCGGCGCCGGCGACATCATTGGTAGGAATTTATTTTCATTTCCACTTGCATTCTATTCTATTCTACATATATAACTGTGTTTCCTTCAAGGACCCGGCGCCTTTATCGACCTTGTCGCCCAGTCCACTGGCCGCCAGCCCACGGTGCTGGGCAAGCCGGGCGAGGCGCTGCGTCAGCTGTTGCGCCAGCACCACGCCCAAGTGCCAGCCAACCGAGTGCTCTTCATCGGCGACAGTCTAGCCAGTGACATTGGATTTGCGCGCGCCAGCGGCTATCAGACGCTGCTGGTCCTCACCGGCGGCAGCAGCAAAGCGGACGTGGCCAGCCTGTCTCCGGGCCACGCCCATATGCCCGACTACGTAAGCGACTGCCTGGGTGATATTTGCGGCACGTTGATAAACTAATGGCATAAACAAAAACTAATTCCAAATAGGCATACTTACGTTATGCACTGTATTGCTTTAAACATAAATAGCTCAAGTAGATCCCTTGAAGCCAATAAATTGCATACATATATATATATATATATATATAAATCGTTCTTATAACATAAACATAAAAACTTCTTGACTTGTCTATAAACATTTTCCAGATGCTCGACTTACTCGGCAAGTGAATCTCTTATTTGTTAATCAATAAAAAATAATGTAAATAATAAACAAATGAATTGCAGGAGCAAGAACCAAACATTCCATGATTTTACTTAACTATAACAAATGATTTCTATGAGGCAATACTCAAGGCAGCAAATCGCATTTAATTGTAACATTTGCGTTAACAAAAATGGTTCGATTCTTATGCAAATCTTGGAGTATTATTGGGGGTATTTTTAGTTGGACTAACGCTTACGATATTTGCATATCTCAATTAAATAAAACTATGTCAAATTAAACAGAATTATTGTTGGTTTCTGGAACAGAATGCAATAGTTGCATAGATCAACCACAATGATGGTTACGTTCCGAATCTGCCTATATACCTATGATGTCTACCACACCTGAACCCTTAACCGTTTACAGATTACAGTTACGTGCCCCAATCCCGAATGCTTATGGTGTATAGTGTAGTGGGCCTCAGACATGCGCCTTGGGCGCGATGTCGGCAAGCAATTGAATGAAATCGGCGATGCTGTCGGCATAGTAGTCGGGCAGATGTTCAGGACAGGTCTCCGCCTGGAGCTGGTCGAGCGTACAGCCGCCGGTGAGAACGAGCAGCGTTTGGAATCCGCACATACGGCCAAAGTGCACATCCTGGGCAAGCATATCGCCGATCATGAGCACACGACTGGGCACGGTAATATTGTGCTGCTGGATCAGCATATCGCCCAGAGCGCGTCCCGGTTTGCCCAGAACCGTGGGCTGCTTGCCGCTGGCCTCGACCAGAACGGAGGCAAAGGCGCCGGGTCCAATGATGTTGACACCCTTTGCCACGGGCAACAAACGGTCTGTGGCGCCGGAGAGCAGCAGGCAATCGGGATGACGCAAATAGAGATGGGCGCGCAACATTTTGGGCGCGGTCAAATTGAAGTCCACATCGATGACGACAGCGCGCACCGGCTGCTTGTCAAAAATATTGCGTGCCAAATCCTCATAGGTGTCATCAATGAACTGGTTGGGCTAAACACATGAGGATTTAGAACGATTCTCTCAAAGATTGCCGAAGCACTTGTTACTTACGCCATCGATAAGCTGGTAGCCCGCCTCGCGCAGCACCGTCTTGAACTGAGGCGAGGCTATGATGTAGATAAGACCCTCGAATTTGATGCTTTGCAAATAGTAGATCATTGTCTGAGCCGGATGCCAGATTTGCTCTGGTTCCACCTGCATGTTGGCCTTCGCAAAACGCTTCACAGTTTCGTCAACGGTGCGCGCGCTGTTGTTCGTAACAAAGGTGAGCTGCTTGCCGGCACGCTTCAGGGCCGCGTAGGCCTGGTCGGCATTGGGCACATTCACCTTCAGGGTATAGATAACTCCATCTATGTCACTGTACACCCGATCGAAGGAGTCAACAAAGCGGCGTCGCTGCTCAGCGCTGAGCTTCAAAATGTGCTGCGGCTGCTTAAATAGATAACCATATGATTAGATTAATCCCAATAGCTGGCAACCAAAGCTAACGTCTTACGCTTTTGTTTGTCATGCTGCTGCCAATACTTCTTCTTCTGCTGCTGGTGCTTCTGCTGCTGCTCGAGGCTGTCGCTGGAACGTCCGCCACTCAACTAATGTGACGAACTCGACTAACGCCTCATAAAACTAAACACTGCAAAATAAAAAATGATTAACACTTTGCAGGGGTAAACGAAGACGCAGACGCCGGCGTTGTCACCGCTCAATATCAAAACAAAACCAATAACGAAAAACGCTGCTGTCGCTTATCTCTCTCTCTCCCTCTCGCTTTCTATGGTTACTCTCGCTGCTTGCACCCACAACATTGTGTGTACCAGATACCGATACACATACACATGCACATGCGTATGTACCGTTAGAACAGCAGATGAGCTAGCGTTTTAGCTGGAAATGGCAGTAGCTAGAAATGTAACTGATGCATGCTTACATATATTTATACATACATATGCATGTATGTATGTACATAAACAGCCAGTTGAATGAATGGGAAATGAATAACAGGGTTATAAATCCAAGTGTAAATCGCGTTCATACATACATACATTCATATGTATGTACATATGTATATATTTAGCAATCAGATACGTGTTAGAAGATAAGTTATGACCATGGTTGCCACGTGCATTGTAAATGTATCAAATAACTTTGTTTTTATTATTAGACTTTTTTTTTGTTACAAAATCGAGTGCTTTTCGTCAATGAGTTTAAGTTAAATGTTGTGATGAAATGTTTATATTTTTGAATTTTTAATAATCTTTGAGTATTTTCAACTTGCTTAAGCTGCCCAAATACTTAAAATATACAAGCTACTTAAGAAATAACTAAAAGAAAATAGATAAATATATATGTATATGCTTTCAAATAATTTACAAGTTACTCTTATACGTATGTACATATGTATTTAAACATGTTGTACTTGGTCTTGTAATATCCGGTATAACCTATTTTCTCAAGTGACAACCCTATTACAAATGTTTAACGATTCTTTAACCGTTATGAAACCGATTCGCGCTGTTAGCCTAAAATAGATACGAGTCTTAATTCAAAATATGCAGAATAATGTTTTTAAATAATTTCATAAGCTTAAGATTAACATAAATACTGATACTTTCAAAATTCGATTTCCTTTCTTTGCCTTATCATCAATAATATTCTCTTATAATTCTCTACTACTTGATAAATATAAATATTTATAACAGTTGAAAACATGATACATTTTATTATTCCGTTTGTTACAAATGAAATACATTTTCTCTGGGGATATATACAGAATAAACTGTTATTTATTATATTTATATGCATATTTCGTATTACACTACAATACAACTTATCTAGTAACTAACTATCCTGAACTATTAGCTACAACCAACAAAAAAAAAAAAAAAAAAGCGGGAATAAAGAAACTATACTACTTTATCGAGGTAACTAGAACATAAAACAATCTGAGTAGATTCTGTAATACTTAGCGTACATATATATGAAATAAATATCGAGCATGTGTATATGCTTAAGGGTATAATATTAATAGTAAAAGAACAAATTCAACATCACAAGGCTTAGTGCAGCGGTAAGAAGGTTGTTGGTTAAGTATATAAAATTGTAAATGTTTCAATTAAAATTAATAATATCCGTATTAAAATGGGTGAGTAGTATTATCGTTTCTTTCTCATTTTGCTTGGAATTGAATATTGTGTGTGGGCACGTTTAAAAATAAAAAATGATAAATAACTAGAAGAATACTCTGCAAAACGAATTTAGGAGCGACAACATTGTGTGGATTTAGTGGTCCGCAAGGTAGCCCGCGCAGGTTTTTGGGATTGACAGCAAAACACAGATGTTAATCCTTCTCCTGCTGCTGCAGCAGGGCCGAAATTTCCTGAAACTTGTGACGATAATCGACGCTGCTCTCACTGATCACCGACATGCTCGATGAAGGGTCCTGCATTGAGACGATTGTTTCGTTTTAGGATTGCTTTAATCAGTCATCTAAACATCGCACTCACCAGTATATCGCGCGTGGCATCAAAGTCATCCAGATGTCCCAGCAGGCTGGTCAGCGAGAAGTCATTGATGTTCTCCTCCAGCCAGCGTGAATTCGATGTGGAGTCGCGCAACAAATGCATCGGACTGACGCTGCCATTGAAAAAGTTTTGTGCTGCACAGCAAAGGATAATCATTATTTCGATATTTGTTGTCGTTAGCATAGGTTAAATGAAATGGTGTGCATATTTTTACACAGTTTACAACATTTGTATATTCTATTGTACAAAAAGCTTTCAGCTCTTATAGTATTTCTTATGTCTTGACACAATAGAATGAAAAGAGATAGACTATGCACAGGCAAAGTCCAAATGTAAATATATACGGATTTACTTGTAGGAAGCATCTAGGCGGAGTTTGTTGCCTCAGCTCAGAATATGGCTTCTTCAGCAAGAGTACTGCTTCCCGTCATAAGGGAGCTCGAGCACACTAACGGAGCTTCAGCCTCAATAGATCGGCTCTCTTGCTCATCTCCCTCATCATTATTATTGCGACACAAGCGGGTAAATTGACAAAAGCTATGTACTCATGAGAGGGATTCAGACAATTTACATTGCTCGGATCTTAAATCAAAGTCCAAATTTGAGCAGTTACGAACGGAACAAAATGGAGACAGCCGTAGAGACTAGTCGTTGTACAAGTTATCCCATACTTAAGGTGTATATATAATTTGCTCAGCTTACTGGTGCTCTCATCTTGGGCGTCCTCTGGCAGCGTGGTGCTTGTGGCTGGCAGCGTTGTCGCCTCCACAGAGAATTCCAAATCGGGCATATCCGGGCCTGTGATGGGAACGCCGCTGCCGTCACTGCTATTGTAGTTGTTGTTACTGCTGCTGTGATCTTCGACTTCGGGCTGCTGCTGCTGCTGCCGCTGACTGACGCCGCTATTGGACCCAAGTTTGGACAATAGAGTAGTTAGTCCACTGCTGCTACTGACGCGTTCGATGGGCTCAAAGAGACCGTTTTGCAGATTGCGCAGGCTGAGCAGATCGTATGGTTGGGCAACTGAAGATGGCGGCAAGAGGCAACGCTGCACCAGAACCTGACGTGACATCTTCTGGCGAGTGAGCTGCAATATAAAATGCAAATTCGATTAATATAGAAAGTAGTTAATAAATTTGTTTGTTGCATTTTGAGCACCTTGGTCAATTGGCGCACTGGATCAATAACATTGACCATGGGCCTGCGTACTGGCAGCATGGGCGTGCGAAAGATGACCTCATTGCCATCCGTTGATGTTGCAGTTGCCGATGCAGGCCCAGCGCCAGTTGCCGTACCAGCGCTCGCCAGATTGCTGAGCCATTGCGCCTTGGTGATTAAATCGCGTTTGCGATCGCAACTGTGGCCACAATTGCATTGACGTTTGCGCACACGCTCGCTGAGATTGGCAACCAGGAGCAGGTGCTTCAGCTTATTGCTAACCGTGGCCGTTGTGATCGCCTTAACGCGTTCCACGCTATCACAGTCATTGGTATTGTAGGGCAGCGATGTTGATGAGGAGGACGACGACGTTGTGCTCGTTGTGTTGACGGCTGTGGCGCCGCTCGGCGTAATCTGCTCCAGTTCACACCAGTAATACTCTAGCTCCAACTTGGAGTCCTGACCCAGCACCACATACAAATCGCCAATGGTTATATCCGCCGAATTGGATATCGTCCAGCCCTTGCGTATGCGCTTGATCACATCATCGCTGAGCAGCGGCTTAAAGTTGCGCGCTGCAGCAGCCTTGCCGCCTTTACCACCCCCAGCACCGAAGCCTTCGCTACGTTTGGTACGTGTTGGGGCTGGAGCTGGTGCTGCTGCGGGGGCTGGGGTCGGTGCTGGCGGCGGTGGAGCAGCGATTGTTATGGGATTGCTGCTGGTGCTGCTTGTGCTGGCAGTTTGCTCAACTGTCTCGCCCTCGGTTTTTACACTGAGCAGCTCATTGATCTCCTCGCTAATCTCGTCGCCGCTGTTGCTCTCCACCTTGACATTATTGCTGGCCTCTGTCAGTTCATCCAAAGGCTTTTCTTGAGCTGAACTGGTCAGAGGCTTGAGCTTTTTGGCTTCAGGCGAACGTTTCTCTGAGCCGCTCTCGGTTCGCGCACGCTTGGCGCTGGCAGCGGCCGCAGCTGCTGCGCTGTTCAGCGTCTCGCTGTGCACCTTGACGCCCAAACGCTCCTCGTAGGCGGTCAGGCATATGTTGACGCTGCTTAAATACGCCGTAATGCTGAGCAGCGGACGATGTATGGGCACGCCTGGCTTGGGTAAAAAGCAAATCAACGGCTCCGTCAAGGGCTCGGGCGGGTCTGTGTTGCCGGCGCCAGTGCCACTGGGCGGCAGCAGCTGCTCCTCCGCAAGCCTAGCGTCAGCGCTGCGCCATTTATACTGAAACATTTTAATAAAGCTAAACAGCTTCTTGTGCAGCGGCACAATGACGCGACTGCGTGGATTCTGTGCCAGCGCCTGAACGCGACCAAACGCCTCAATGTTCGCCGGATTAACCAGCACCTCAATTTTACTGGGCAAGCGTATGTCCTCCAAGGTATCTAGGTGGTTTCCCGCGGTAATTAGCATGGAGTTTGTGTTAATTCGTTTAAGTCGACTCACCATCCAACTGATTGAGACGACGCAGCGCCTTGCAGGAGGGCGTCTTGATGCGTATATTCTTGCCCTTGCAGCGCACGGTGATGTGTCCCTGATAAATGAGCTGCTTCAGTTTCATGAAATGCTTCTCAGAGAGAAACTGCAGCTTGCGCCTCATTTCACCATAGTTAATCAGCGTGTACAGCTCCTGGGCAAGCTTCTTAAGCTCTGGGGCAAGCCATAATTGGAAATGTTAGTTAGGTAGGGGGCGGGGGCGTCAAATTCCTGGACATGCTTACCATCCGTGAAGCGGACATATTTGCCAATCTTGTGATATGTTTGATAATAATGCTGGCGCACTTGGTCCTTGGTCTTGAAGCTGTAATCGGTGCTAGTGTTGCGTCGCTTCAGTTTGGCATTGATGCAGTTGGCCACTGCCTCGAAATCCTTGCCATATTCGTTGAGCGCATCAAAGAAACAATTACGCTCCAGATTTGTCCAAGTCGTTTTGTTGGCGGCGCGCAACTGTGACGGCGTCTTCTGGGTGGCCTTCTCCTCCTTCTTGGTGTGCTCACGCTCCGGCGGTGGCGGCGTCATCGGACGCGTCAGATCTAGTTTCATCTTTTGTATGACACGCGCGCTCGCCCGTGTGCCCGGGCAATTCTGTGTGGTAACCGAACCGAGCAGCTCCTCGGGCTCAGCGGAGCTGGCAACTGGCGCCAGCTTGCACTGCACACCCTTGCCATTGCTTGTGGATGCATTCGTTGCGGATGCGACTGCGCTTGCGGCTGCTTCCGTGACGACAACAACAGGCTCGGCCGCAAACTTGACATTCTTACACATGTTGGCGTTGTCTTCCATTTTATGCCACTGGCACTGGCTGCCCCCACCACGGCTAACCGACAGGCTGCAAGTAATTATCAATAATTGACAAGTGACAATTGTTTGTCCACAAATAGCGTTGGGAAATTCCTAGATATTAGCGCTTAAATAGTAAACTTTGCACGACGCCAGCGAAAAAATGGCGCTCGCCAATGGGTCAAGAAGTTGATTGGTCTATCGTTGTTTTTTTTTTAGTTTTTCGTATTTGTTTGTTGTTATTTGGCCACTTGTTAAATTGCACTCTATTGCGCACTTACCCAAAATGCAGAAATTAATTATTTTGCGTGTGTTTTGTTGTCGTTTTGGGTCTTATTTATCTTCATTGTTTTGCATTTAGAGGAGCGTATAATGTTATGTTAAGTCGCGGTTATGCTTATTTTGGTCGTTAACATGCGCCTAACATAGCTATGTTAAGTTCAAGATTACGTTGCTCAGTTTGCGTTTACGTTTGTGATTATGCGTGTGCTTTGCATATTTTGCGTTTGAATTACTTACTTACTTTATAAGTTTTCAACAAATGACTTGGTTTTGAGCTTAATAATTCTTCATACTTTCAATATTGCTCAAACAATGTCACGTAAAAACATTGGTAGCATTGTATTTTCCTCTTAGCTCACTAGACATAGTAACATAACACAGCATAGATAGATTTACATTACGTGAATCTAACAGTCAGTTTTCAACATATACTTAACATATAATTAAAAATATAAGAAAACAGTTTAACATAAGTGCATACTTACTCTCGTTACTTACCGTACAGTCCTATTTACATAATCGACACATTGCCTGTCAAATGTATTAAAAACTGTAACATCGCGGATGAGCAGCAATTAACAATACTAACTGAGCCACAAATTATCAGAAAATTGGTACTTGTCATTGCGGAAAGTTATTCAATTTTCGCCAACACATTCAAAAGGCAACAGTTATTTTGTGTAAACAACTATCAGCTGACGGCAATACGCAGCATTGCATCGATAGCACCGTAATATTGACAGCCTTACTAAATGCAACCCTGTGTGACCGCCAAGACATGGTGTGGTGAGTAAGGCATTTGAAAACGCCCGGCCAGTTTAAATGCAAATCGCTTAACAAAACTATTTTATTTGGCTTAAAGGCAATTAAAAAAAAAAAGAAAACAAAAAATAGTTTTGCGCTTATGTGCATCACAAATAAATACCGATGATTATTAAAACTAACACAACTGCAACGAGTATAGCAATGAGCATTATTTTTTTCTGCAAAAAAATGATTCGTAAAGAAATTCCAATTACTGTATCCGACGATTAAATTAAACGCACCTTGCGCGCTTTCTCCCGGTACTCCTTGGCCTTGTCGAGCTCATTGCCGCCCTTCTCGGTGTACAGGGTGGCCTGATTTGCATGGAACTCCACCCGCTGTATCGTTTCGCTCTGCTCCATGACGAGTGTCTGAATACGCATAAAAAGTGCATGAACATCCTCAATGGATTTCTCCAATTTTCGAAGCTCATTGAAACGATCCATGAGATCGCGCAGCGTCTGCCGTTCCTTATCTGTCTCTTGCAGTATCTAAATGAACTTTACAAAGTCAGCTTAGTTAATGATTAACGCCGCATGCAACGACTCACATTGTCTACAAAGAGTTTTGTTGTTTTGTTTTCGATCAGCAATTCGATCTCTTGTTCACTGGCCTCCGCATTGACTATACAAATTGGAATTGGAGTTCTGATATTAATTTCAAGTTGATTATTTACATGTCCCTGCTATTTACTCACTGATCTTGGAATGCATGCGCAGGTTCTTCTTCACCTTCGTCTCGTAGTTCTGCAAGAATAGTTCGTTTTTCTGCCACAGATTGATATAGGTCTGGTAAAGGCCATAGAATAGGGTACGTTTCATGCGGGCCTCCAGGCTGTAGTCAGTCTCTGGCGGCAGATTCGCTTTGAACTCCCTGAAGCGGTTCATTAGCTGATTGCCCAGGCGCAGGTTCCTGTTGTGCAGCTCATCCATTTCGTTCTCTGTGCGAAGAGTGCAAAACACATTAATTGGCAACTGCGAATGTTTCTATAAATATGTATAAACTGTACCTACCACTAAAGGTGCGCAAATGGATTGTCTGGGACATACGGTCCATAGCCTCCAGATTGTTAGCGATTTGCGAGAGCTGATGTCGTATTTCCGAATACTGTAAATGAGTGTTGGAAAGTTAATAAGATGCAAAATATGGTGTTGAATAAGTCATCAAATGTATATTGGATTCAACAAAATAAAGAAAGAACAGTTGTTATTTACTGATATAGGACGATATTATCATCTGATCTTTCTTTTCTCTGAAAATTAGTCAAATTAGTTGAGAGACAATATTTATTTAGCTAGACCAAACGAAGTTAATAAGACTACAAAACCACTTTCAGACCAAGTCGATTTATATATTAATCAACTTGAATTAAATCAAGCAATGAAGAACTTTCTTATCCAATATGTAGGCGGTAAAGTGGAAGTGCTGCAGTTACCGTTCGTGCGGTCAAGATGTCAGTCTAAAATACTTTTTTTTAGTGTTCTAAAGTGTTTCAAACTGGATCCGACACGGTTGGACAGTGCAACGGACATTTCTCGCTTTTCATAACGGGGTATCAAAGATTGTAGCGCATGCTGATTTGCTGGTTCATTCAACTTTTGGAGTTGTTATACTTTATGAGTGCTTCAAGCAGTTGCTAGCTGTAATCTCTTGATTTGGACTCTCCGCTGGAGATTTGTATTTGTTAGGCGCAGCATTGTTGGTGGGTGCTTGGGGGTGGGGTGTTAAGTCCCAGTTTAATGGCATACAAATATAATTAGATTAGATGTTGATAAATATGTCTGTATGTATTTAATTAATTAGAAGCTGCTGTAAGCCATTTTGCCTATCACGGGTTCGACGATGAAGTAATGCGCTGCTATTGCTATTGACGACGTCGCTGATTCATGCGGCCGTCAACATGAAAAACGTATGATAAACATTTCGAATCAAAGCAGTTGGTTTGTTTGATGTCCACAATAGAAGAGATGGTACCGTGTCGGAGTATACTCAACACGGCACGAGCCACAAATCGGGGTGAGAAAGCATTGTTACAGTTATTATTCTAGGTTCCGGTTTGTATGCTGTTCCCACTAGAGATGGGAGTTGGATGGGTGCGGTATTATTACAACACGCACGACTTTTGAATTTTGTTTTTATTCATTTGTTAATTTTACATATTTTTATTATTTACTTTAATTAATTGCTTACATTTTTTTTATTTGCATTTAAGTTTATTTGTATTTGTGCTTTAATTTGATTTATTAACACATATACATATGTAGGTGTCACGTAATATATATATACACACACACACACACAGGCACAGACTTACCGGATTCAGTATAGCATCCACATTGGTACCCTGTTGCGACATTTTGCTGCGATCCTTGTTGTTGTCGCTGTTGCCGTTGTTGCTGTTGTTGCTATTGTTGCTGTTGTTGTTGTTGTTGTTGTTGTTGCCGAGCGTTTCGGTGGTCGCGTTGTAAACGTTGAGCAACAATGAACCGTTCGAGGACGAAGACGTTGAGTTGGCGCTGAGCGAGCTCTGCAAAACAGTTAACAAAATGCTTAAACAGTTAACGGTTCGAGCTCGACAAAAACAAAATTGTTTTCGAGCATCGCTGCTGCAGCGACGCCGACGCAACTCTAACTAAAACTTCGTGCTTCAATTTGAAGCTGTTTTCTCCTTTTATTTTTTGTTTTTTTTGTTTTTTTTTTGTTTTTCGCCAGCGATCTGCTCTCTCACATGCTGTGTTGTTGGGGGCGGGCGCGGGTGCGAAATGCGCAATCTGGTAGCGTAATGAATAATAAAAGCTGGCCAACAAATTGGAATTGAACGACCGTGCGGGCTTGGGGATAGCCCCTCATGGGCTACTTTATCGCTCTTATCTGTCGGCAATCTAGGTGCAAGCTGATAAGGGCCCAAAACCAACAAAAACAACACGTCTCTCACGTACCCCAACCACTCGCTTCCAAAATGGCGAGCTAGTGTTAGCGCCGGACGCGGAATGTCGCGTAGTGTTTGTAAACGCCGGCGAAATGAATGCGTGTAACAAAATGGAGCTAGCATACAATGCGAGCAGCATACTGAGGCCTGATGAACGCAAACTTGTTGAGCCGAAAATCGAAGTGTATTTGTTGAACGCGCTGCAAAAGCTTCATATGCGAGTCCTTTGTAGGCTGAGGGTACTGTATTTTGCTCGTTTCAGCAGGCAAATGGAGAGTAACCAGTTTTAGGCTTAGACATGCAAAAAGCTTAAATAATGCATGCTATGCATGTTAATAACCATACCTGCTTGCAATTATTCTCTAGAGCATAGCCACACTATCTTCCAGAAGAACGATTGACAATGCCTGGGGAATTCAATTAATTAAATTCTAGCAGGACTTTTGCAATACTTTTTCGCTCATCTTTCTTTTCTTTTAGCATTTTGCCACACTGTATTTGCCCAATAAGCTACACTTTCAATCGAACGCTACACTCTCTCTCGCTTCCACAGCAACTATCGAAGCCACTTGAAAACGTTCGCTCACTGCAAAAATAAAACAATTTACACTTAAACTTACCTGCAAAAGCTCTGGCAGCCTATCTCTAGCCATTGTGTTTCTCTCTGTGTTGTATAGTGCTGAAGTTGATAGTGTTGTAAGATTGTTCTTGTTGTTGTAGTCCCAGTTTAGCGTTGATTTTGTAAGCAGAGACGCGATACGTTTGCTTTTCTATGTATTTATGTATATAGTTGTTATTGTTTTAGAGCACTTGTTTTAATTGCTTTTCATGTGCACTAGGATAAACACGAATTCATTTATAAACGACAGTTGTTGTTGCTTTGCATAATCGACAATGGCAGAGTGTTAAGCTGCGCCCTGAGTGCGTTGTTGTTGTTGCTGCTGCTGCTGCTGCAGCTGCGGTCAGATGCTTCTTCTTCGTTCGGGACACTTGCACGACGGCAACAGCTGTGCTTAAACTGTGCGTATGCTTTTGTTGCCAGCAGCACAGTTACGCGTGAGAGTGACGCGCACGAGTGAGGAAGAGAGTCCGAGAGAGCGAGCGGGAGCGTGAGCAGAGGCGAGCGCCGCAAGCTTGAACAATATCAAAGCTGATAAGCAGCGGTGCTTATCGGCGTTATATTTGCGGTGCCCTTGTGTGGAGTATGTGGGTGTGTATAGGTGTGTTGTTGTTGAGTGCGTGTGTGTGTGTGTGTGTGTGTGTAATTAAGTGTTGCCTTATCGCGCTTTAAGCACTTTATTTGCAATTGTATTTGTAATACTATTTGCATTTGCATTTGTATTTGTATTTGTCACTGTGTTTGTATTTGTGTTTGCGTATGCAGTGGCTTTTTGTTGGCTGCAATTTATTTTTGTATCGACTGTTGCACGTTTCACGACGTCCATTTACCATACAACAAAAAACCAAACTGAACGGATCGAAAGAGAGCGCGAGTGCGAGTGCGAGAGTGAGCGGAAGCGACAACAATATTGATACATTTCATTTATTGCAACAAGCTTTTTGATAATATTTATTTATTTCTTATTGAGTTCTCTTCACGCCGCATGTCGCCTGCAAACTAAAAGCGCCGGTCGCGAAATATATTCCATATAGCTTCTCTGCTTCAGAAGCTGCCACTGAGATTTCTTTCAATTTAAAGATTAGCACAGGCACACACACATACATACATGTATACATACATATGTAGGTACATACATGTACCTACAGTTGTACGTACGCACACACACACACAGATAAAGTTATGTATTATGTCTGTCTGTCCCTCTGCACTTTTCGGGGGCTGTTCTAGAAATTGAACCGGTTGCGACGCTCTATGAAATATGTGTTAATTGCCACTTTTTTTTTTTTGTTACAAGTACAACATTTAGCTGTTCAGCAACCACAGCAACAAAAGCAGCGAAAACAACACCGACGACGCCGTTCAATTGAAGGTAGCGACGCCGACGCTGACGCTGACGCCGACGTCGACGTCGACGTCGACGGTTCCAAAAGTCACTTGCGCTAATTAGTTGAACTTTTTCTTATTGTTGCTATTGTTGCTCTTGCGGTTGCAAAACGCTCACAAGCTCGACGTCGACAACGACGCCAGCGTCGACGGCGTCGCTGCAAATTTATATTTCTCATTCTCGTTCTCGTACTCGAATTGCCAGCAAAAAGCACACAACGTGGGTCACAATTCACATTTCAATGCATTCCAATTACGACAATGGAACAGTGCGAGGAGCAAATTGATATCGAGTGATAATACATGCATACATTGTCTATGTATGCATGTGCTTCTATTTGCATGTGTATGTGTGCCTTCTAAATGAAAGTCATTGTTGCCTAACGGACGAGCAAGACGACAAAATATGCATATATGTGTATATTTAAACATAAATATTTAATTCAATAAAAAGTATTATGCATACGCTTGCTTTTTGCTCGAACAGGGCATGACTAGCTGTGTACTGCGAAGGCACTTTGCGAAACCACAAAAATGCAATTGTTCATAAATATACTCTAGCCGATCAGCATACCCTGTCTTTTGTGTGTATTAGGCGTTAAGGCAGTTTAGTCTTGTTTAAAGGGTATCTATTAGTTTGGACCTGTTGTTATAATGCCATAACCAATGGTAAATGGATATCTAAGCTACGTCCCATTTAACTGCAGCACACACATTTGATACAGGGCATCCGATAGTTGTGCCTACCCTCGACTGCCAATCGAACAGCAGCGTCGCCTTGTCCAATTCGCGCAATGTAAACTTTCATTTATCAGCGCTAAGCCGCAGCGACGTTGAACTCCGCTGATCGTTGATTCAAAGAAAGTCGGGCTCGATATGCGGATACTATATATGCTTACTTTATATATGAACATGACTCAGTGAGTATAAACAAGCAGAAAAAAACGACGTATAGCTGTTCATGATTCAAGCAAAGTGAAAGCTGACTTGCAAGATCACAAAAAGGCTTCAGAAGAATCTGAGAATAGGAGCTGAAACGAGAGAGTGAGATTGCGAGGGAGAGAGAGAGAGAGAGAGAGAGAGAGAGAGAGGGAGTGAGAGGGCGCGAAAGGGGGAAAGACTCCATTAAAATTCTATATAACTTAACATTTAGATTAAATTCTTACAGTTTTTGGATGAATTTGCAAATTTTCAGATTCTACAAAGATTTATGATTATTCTGTCTGTAAACTGAAACTGTAGTTGGAAGTCTTACTATCTTAACTGGGAAAAAAGGGTTTCTTTATCGATATTTATCGATGATGTGAGCAGAGGAGATCTGAAGTTCTTATAATTCATAACGATTCAAGCCGAACCGGTTCGAATCCGAAAGTGTGTGTGTGTGTGTGAACCATATTTTGCTTGAAATGGGAAAAATGGGAAATGGCCCCAAATTGGGCTTAAGCCGAACTGGTTCGAGCCCCTAATTGTAGTATTTAATATGGATCAAACATTAAACAGCCAACAAAAATAGCTGAGCCTTATTGAACCCAGACCGAACCTTACCAGTTGATATTACTCTACGGAAATATGAACGTTATGCAATATTTATGGCATATATAAATGAATAATTGAATTATTTTTATAAAACTATCGTATGACAAGGCAAGGCATGAGCCTGAGAACAAACTGTGGGCTTGTGTATGGGGCAAAAAGAGGTTCACAAACCGAACCGCAGGGCAGAAAGTCGGTTCGATAATTAAATCGAGCCCGACCTGGGATCAATTCAATGTGCACTTGTTTTTCGCATGCATATGTTTAATGTCTCCATAATATTATTTATAAACTATATCACACGCCAAAACGTTGCAGGTATCTAACCTGGGCTGATTGAGTACTTTTTCTAGCTTGAATGATGGAAATCAGCAATAGTTTCGGCAGCAGCATCAGGTTCAGCTGCGACATCAGTTTTATCATCACATTTTAGCTTCATCGGCTTTGTACGCACGGCAACATTTCAAAAATATTTTCATACGCCCCGTGTGCAGGCCTTTGTTTTTATGTTTGTTATTCATGTTGCTGTTGTTGCTGTTGCTGTTGTTAATATTGTTGTTGCTGTTGTTGTTTTGTCGGCTCATGCTTTAGCGCAGCTTTGTTTACAATTTATTTTGTCATGTGTCGAAAATTGCAAATTTATGAGTTTTTGATGAGTCTTTTTGTGCTCGTCGCTCGCAACGCTCGCAGTTATTTGCTGGTGTTTGCTTTTATGTGGGCCAGCACACGCACATGTACACGCATACACACATACACATACGCGCACACACGCACACACACGTACACACACATAGGCACACGCACCCAGCATGTCCTGGTGCATCCTGTTGTGTATCGTATGCTTTTGACTTTTGATTAAATTCGCACACGCAAAACTATAAATGGCACACGGGCAAAAATATCACAAGATGACAAAAACGAAAAGAAAAACAGAAAAAAAAAATATAAAAGGTAAAATAAATAAACGACAAATTCTATAAAGGCGCTGGCAAATTTGTTGCTTCTTTTTGCCAGGTTTTGGCATGTGCCACGAAACATGCATACAAATTGCTTTTAAAGCCTTTAAGGCAACTGCTTCTATGACTGTGTGTGTGTGTGTGTGTGTGTGTGGGCCTTGAACGGGCTAGGAAAGGCACGATTGCCTGCGCCGGATATAGCCTAGGCGCCAATTTTAATACGCTCCCAAAATTCTACAGCATTTTTTGTTGGCACCTCATAAGCAATTTGCATAAAAGTCGCTGGCGTCGCCGACGTTGAATGCTGGCAATTGCAAAAACTAATGGCAAACCACACACACACACACACACACACACACACACACACAGACAGAGACACACACCTACTCGTTCTAGTTGTCGCCCGCACAGGTCATGCACATCATAATGATGTGAATTATTCATTGTTTATGCTTCAGTTGATGTTTTAATTAAACAGCAGACCTCAAAAGTAGCAGCCAAACTGGCGGCAATAGCGTTTTTGCATTGGCTAGCCGAATGCTGGGGGCGTGCGGGAAGCGGGCATGTGCTTGTTGTTGAAGGTGTTGCCGTGACCAAGTTCATACATAACCAATTGACAGAAGTGGACAATTTAATCACTTGTTCTCTTGCGTCAAGCTGCGTCTCGTCGTTTCGCTGGCATTCGTCATAGCCCACTGGGCGTATGAGTAATGTGCAGTTCCTTACAGTAATTTAGTTGGAACATGATATAATTTAGAGAGAGAGAGAAAGATTGCGAGCGTTCTAACTGCAAACATTATTTATACACATATGAATAACAATAGATAAAGCAAGCCTTTATTGAGTTCATGAGAATCGCAATGAAAGGCAATTTTTAGAAAACACTGGCTCACTTTGTCTTCCAAATATCGCCTTTCTATGCAATTTTGATTAACTCAACATATGCCACAAATGAAGAGGCAAATTAGAGGAATAAAATTTGCCACAATCTATCTTAAAATCAGTTTTTAGATGAATATATTTTACGGAATAGAAACGGATAACTATATAAACAATAGGTGCGGGCTTACATGTACTTATTTAAAATAAATAAAATAAATGACATTTTTGAATGTTAATGTGATCTTTTTAAAGCGGGAATTTAGATGATGCGTAATAAGCCCGATCCCAAGACATCACGGAAAAGAGAGGTTCAACTGTTTCAAAAATTTCAGTAATGCATCACTGGAGGTCATGAGAATTGCATAGAACGGCGTTATTTAAGCGCTTATTTTCAATTTTTTAAATCGGTAAAAAATGAAAAAATATATTCAATGCAAATAGCCGAACAATTGGTGTATATATACGATGTATTTGAAATGTGAAGGCAAATCCAAATGAAGTGAACGCAGAATCAGTGTCGCAAAAACCGATAAGCAACTTGCCACATCCGCTGGTTGCACCTTTAAAGTGCAGTCGGATGCGCTGCATTGCGGCGTGGCTTAAAGCGAAACGCTCCGCGATGCCAACCATCCGAAAGGCATAAAAAACAGTGGCAGTGGCATTGGGCTGAGGCAGAGGCAGAGGCAGAGGCAGCCGCAGCGATGGCAACGCCAATTGCCAAGCCGCATTATTTATCGCATTCGCGTTATTTGGAGGCGGCTGGGTGGGTGGTTGGATGGGCTTGCAGCAAAACAAAATGGCGCCAGTGCCATAATGGCGGTCGTCGCTGGTGTCCTTGTCGCTGGCGCAGCGGATGCTTGGCATTTATTGCAAGCGACAATATTTCGCTGGCTGCATCAGCAATGGAGCAGCAGGCCGCGTCCTGCGGGTGGCGTGCGTCCTGCCTGTGCACATCCGTTGCCTGCCGCAAGCCTGGCGCATAGAACGCGCCTCCTTTTCAACATAATGGCGAGCGTGTCATTGTCAGTGCGATCAGGGGGCCGGGACGTAGCCGGGGCACGTGCAACTGCTTGTGGTGCGATGCATTGCAGCGCATCTCAGCTATTTGTTTATAATAAAGCGAGCGAATTTTTCACAACACATCGCGACAATGGCGGCAACCAGCAAGCGAGCGGGCGCTGCGGAATGTGGCTGGCGGCGGCATCTTCTCAATTCAATTGGAAGACACACAGGCGGGCGGGCGGGCGTACGGGCGGCCAGGCAGCTCGGCAGCCTGTCTGTTCCATTTTGCCAGCCATCTACTTATTTATTTATGCAAACACATAATTCGTTATTTCGTTA